CTAATGAGAATACATTTAAAGCATGTGTTACCTGAAACTGAAGTTAGCTAGTCATTCAATACTACAACCTGTGGGTTTGCAAAACGATGGCAGGAGTCCTGCTGTGAGGGAGATAGGAAAATTATTATAATCTGCATTCCTAAATTGAATGAGTATTTTGCTCAGCAGAGGCCTCTTGACTGCAAATAGTCTGAAATTACATCCTGCTGTTTAAAATGCCTTTTTTCCAAGTAAGTAAAAATGTCCACATTTTCTTAAATCAAATATTTTTTTAAATCTTACATGAATTAAATTATTGAGAGAGGGAAAGCCATAAATCCTTTACTACCTCTTGTAAAAACTGTTTGATATTCACATTTTTAGTAGAAAGGACAAAGTGTCTAGAATTTATGGATTTATGTTTTAATTATTTAAATTGCATTGTTAAAGCTTATCATCATATCTCATCAATTTTTTACTGAAAAAATCCATGTTTATAATTTTTTTAATTTATACAGAGAAAAATGTATGACAAATATCAGAATCAGCTAATAGATGTGATGTCTAACGTGCTACTAAGGTACATTCATATTGAAAGTTTCCAGAAAAGACTACACAAAAGAAAGCAAAAGACCATGAGTTTACAAGAAGACATGGAGGATAGACTTCTGCCACAAGAGTAGCATGGTAAACATAACTTCATTCATGTGAGTTCTTTATCTCATTAAAGCCAGAAATTACATGAAAGAAAAAAAAAAAAAAAGGCCCTGGGAATAAGGATTAGAGGCCACTATAGCTGTTTGAGCAATCATTTTATACCGCATGAAAGCAATAAATACTGCAAATACTTTTCATTACATCCTCGCTAAGAGTTGGAATGGAAGAGGAGGTGTCTCAGCTTATCCTCCTCAGATTCCCTGTCCTTTAAATGGTGACCTCTGTAAATATTTACAAGAAAAGATGTCTGTGCTCCCACTGTAGTCAATGGGAGCCTGGGCTTTGCAATACTTGGCCATGTGTGTGTTTCTAAGTTGAACAAACCAGGACTAATCCTCTTGCCCAGAGGGTGGGTGTCCGTGTCTCTTCACTTCCAAAAAGGGTGTCTGTATTATCTGCTTCTTGGAAACTGTTCCTTCCCTACCTGCTCCCTGAAACCTACCGTGCATTGAATGGACTGTTGGGCAAGACCAAGGAAATACGTGAATGGGATGGATGGATGGATGGATGGATGGATGGATGGATGGATGGATGGATGGATGGATGGATGAGCAGGTGCCAGTGATCAAACTCATGGCTAAGCCCTGTTTTGCTGTTATGGATAGATGTATGTAGCTTTATGCTTTCTCATAACAAGTAGTGGCTAAGAGGAAGATGAGGTCAATCTCATGTGAAAGGTGGTCCTCAGGGGGACCAACGAGACAGGCAAAGGTGATGACAAGGGTACAGACATATCTTAAACACAATGTTTTTCTGGATCTTAAGGGACCTTATGCTGAGTTTCAGTCTTGTTGCTTTAGATTAGGATTCACAGCTCTGACCAACTTCTGAAATGGTGGATAGATCACTTCTGGGTTTTTTTTCAAAAAATATATTTCACAGAAGATATTTTTGTTTCCACACATTTGTTCAACCTCCTAGGACATGGAAGGGCAGAATTCAGTTTTTCCTGTGTCAGGGGACTCTCCTCCCAACTTCTGGGAGGAAGTTGTAGCCTCCAGGATATAGTCTGTATGCTGTAGGCTTAGCACAAAATCTCCAGGATCAGTTTTAAATTTCAGGTTATGCCAAATGTTCCCAGTTCACAAGCCTTTTTTTTTTTTTTCCCTCATTAAATGCAATATAGATACTCAATTCAGTAACAACATAATTTATTTACTTACATCAGGATAATTTCTTCCTTTTGCTACCTAAGCTTTTGTGGGTCTTGTGTATAAATCACATGGCCTGCACATGTTTGATAAAATTCAGTAACCAAAATTAACCATGGAAAATTTGGACAGGTGGAACTCCACTGGTTTTACAGCCAGTCAGATAATTTAGCTTATTCATTTTGATTTGCACTGTTTAAACGAACATGTCTATTACCTGTCAAAGACAGTTTGTTCTCCAATCTATCAAATAATGCTTGTAATATCTTTTGTAGCATTAACCACGACATCCACAGAAATGAAAAATAAAGCACATTTTTTTTTACACCATTTTATATACAAATTTATATATTGGTATTAATGAATGTAGGCTTTAGTAGCAATACTGTAAGCAAAGTGAAAGATGTGGAGGATACTTAACCTCATGAAGTACAACTCCAAGTGCAAGTTGCACCTAAATTGGGGCAGTTCTGGATATGAGTACTGGGAGACAAACTCATTGAGAGCAGCCCTGTGGAGAAGGACTTGGGGGTTCTCATGGAGGAAAAACTGGACATGAGCCAACAGTGTGCTCTCACTGCCCAGAAGGCCAAACACATCCTGTGCCTGCTTCAAAAGAGAAATGGCCAGCCGGTCGAGGGAGGTGGTTCTCCTCCTCAGCACTGCTCTTGTGAGGCCCTGCCTGAGTGCTGCATCCAGGTCCAGAGACCTTAGCATAAGAAAGATATGGATCTGTTGGAGTAGGTCCAGAGGAGAGCCACAAAGCTGATTACAGGGATGGAGCACCGCCCCTATGAAGACAGGCAAAAAGAACTTGCATTTTTCAACCTCAAGAAGAGAGGGCTTCTTATAGCAGCTTTCCAGTACCTTAAGAGGGTTTATAAAAAGGAGGAAGAGGGACTTTTTATATTGGCAGATAGTGACAGGACAAGGGCAATGGCTTTAACTTGAAAGAGGATAGGTTTAGATTAAATGTTGGGAAGAAATTCTTTAGGCAGTGTGGTGAAGTATTGGCAGAAGCTGCCCAGAGAAGTTGTGTATGCCCTGGCTATATTCAAGGCCAGGCTGGATGAAGCTTTGGCAACCTGGTCTAGTGGAAGGTGTCCCTACCCATAACAGGGGGCTTGTAACTAGATGATCTATAAGACCCCTTCCATCCTAAACCATTCTACAATTCTATCTTTCAGTATTATCTGTCCTAAAACAGCAAGGTTCTATCAACAACTATGCTGAGCTAGCCAAACACATAATCCTATCCTTTATGTTTATTTATCAGTCACACACAGACATATTACAAAACCTCCCAAGCACAAACATACAGACAGTGCAGGAAGATGGAGTTTACAATGCATTTGGCATTTTAACTCTGCAACTGAGATATTCATTCACCTTATAGTATACACACACACTGGTATAAAAGATGTAATATTATTTTAAAAGTCCACATATTAAAGCTACAACAAATCCTCTTATATCAATTTTACTTTCTTGGAAAATATTTAGGTATCACATTGAAGGCACCTCACAGAACTAATACAGCTCTCCACACAGCAAACTTTGTACAATATCGCTACTCCTCTAACCTTCTGCTTTTAAATAGAGTCTATATTTTTATATTCATGTTCTTGTTCCTACTGAAGTCTGTTACAAAGATTCTCCATAACTTCAATAGAACTCAGATAAAATAATACTGTATTTGTTTTTTGTTTTTGTTTTTTGTTTCCTCCTCCTATCTGGAGTAGCCATTTGGTGCCAATGGACAATTCTTTTTGATGAGAGATGATATTTTTATCTTTTGTTTATTTTATACTGGGAGTTGGTGTTTAGAATACAAACTCAAATGCTAGCTAGAGTAGCAGACAGAAAAAGATTGGTTAGAAAGCTATTATTCAGATGATAGCACTAGAATCCCTCCACAAAAAAAGAAAAAGAGAACTCAGTTAATATAGTTTAATTACATCAAATTTGAGCTCTGTCTGCTTTAGCCATAAGGTTTCCTGAAATTATTTTAATAGATTTTTATAGATTTAATAGGAAATGTTTAATAAGAAAAAGTAGCTTCTGTAAAACTAGGGGTTTTTTTTCAATGTCCATATGAAATACTATGAAGTTGGCAGAATGAAACTGAAAAGAATTTTTCTTCCTCTTCCCCGAAACCCAGATAGAGCATTAATCCTGAATAATATTCTGCAAAAAATGAAAAACAGATGGCAATCATAGAATAAAATCAAGGTTACGTGATTGTTCACTTTTCTTCTCTACTGCTCATGGCATGATCCACATCATTATAAACATAGTGGCTTTTTATAATGTTATGATTCGTGCTGAAAATCCTGATGTATCTTTATGATCTTGCTACTTTACTTGTCAGTTATGTGTCTGAGACATGACTTGATGAGCCCATATGCCCACACACATTCTACCACCTTTCTGAGCATGTATCTGCTTACAAAATTATTTATTCTATGTTTTCAATCATACCATAGAAAAATTATGTCAGTGAATTGTTCTGGTCAAAGTTGATTTCCGGAGGTGGCAATGTAGTGTCAGAATAATATCAGCAGATTACATAATGTTTTAAGAGAAACCAAAGGGTAGAAAAAGCATTTTATCAAAATCTCACAGATTCCAGAATATGAATAGCTGCTATTAAAAAGAAATTAATTTTTTCCAACAGGCTATGAATGTCTTTGGCATTCCCCTGAAGTCTACATACCATCTAGAACAAGCAAACACACAGTTGAACAAACACTCTGATCCCCACTGACTGTAAAGAAGAACCATCTCATGAACAAAATAGAATATTGTCCCCTTTTTAACTGTTGCAAACCCAGTGAGAGTGATTGAAATACACTAAAAGCAAGTCTAGAAGAAATTCCACAAAAATGGGTAATGGCAGTCAAGCTTAGAGCATGGGGAGAGCTTTCTCTTGGTGGCCAGCTAGTAATTTGGAAGCCTTTAGGTTGCCTGAGCTCACTAGGCACATTTATTACGAGGCAGTTAAAAGCATGATCTCAGCTGTATATATGTTGTGTTAATCACCATTTTATTCATCTGCATCTCTGTTCAAGCAACAAATTGAAACATAGTTCCTGGTGCTAAAGATGAAATTAAACAGTCTTGAAACCTGAGGCTTTTAAGGAAGACACTAACCTTTGTGTCCTTAGGCACATCCAGAAAGTCCAGTACATCTACGTCTGATGAAGAACATTCCAGAAGGATTTAACTCATCTGTTCCAGTGTTCAGTCCCAAGAAGTCTTTAGTGGTTACTGACAAGACCATTCCGGGAATAAATCATCTCCAGGTATGTAGATGGAAAGATCAGACATCTCTGCTGAAATGGTGTACAACTCTCTGAGCCTGTACAAAAAGAGAAGACTCTTGCTGCATATTTGAAGATAAAAAAAACCAAAACAAAACAAAACAAAAAACCAACCCAGCAAGCCAAACCAAAGAACTGAAAGAACCCAAAACCTCAGTTTCCCTGTTTAAGAATGAAAATAAATTTTTTGCAGTAGGGCCCCAGAGGTAGTGCATGTCAGCTCATGTTTCTGGAAGTACCGTGTCAGTATCTTGTAAACATTGGCAGCCTGGAATCTGGAGCACAGGTTAGAGAGGAAGGGGAAGGGGGAAGGAAAATTACAGCAAATGCATTTCATAATACTAAGTCCCAAACAAAAGTCATACCTAATGACAGAAAATGGCTAACTACGTTTACTTTAAGTGGGTTACAAGAAAAGGAATGTTAGATATTTACTGGAAAGAGGTAATATATTACTCATGCTACTCTGCTACATTTTGCCCTTGACATTGGCCAGAAATGTATTTTACAGCCATTTTGTAAATCACTGGAAAAACTACTTTTATACTGAGAACAATGCCAAGCATTCTGGAGAAAATGGTAACAGCATTTAGTGAGAATTGTTCAGATTATCTTATATTTTTTCTATTTCTGTGGTTTTTAGTTTTTTTTAATAATCTAACTATGCTTCCATGTTGAAGACATGGGTCACAGAGACAAATGTCAATATGGTATTTAATTGCAAACCCCGTACTACAATTTCTAGCTTCGGGCATGAACATATCTACTTTCATTCAAAGTAAATCAAGTCCCAAGGAATTTGGAATACAGTTAAGCCCTCAAAATCATCAATGTCAATGTGACCTGACAAAAGACATTAACTCTGCAATTATTCTGTTAGCTGGGAAAAATACTTGTGGGTAAAGGATCAACATTAAATCAAAAGGCTTCTACAAAAATATTGCAAAGAACGACCAGTCTGAGCACCTTTGCAGTATGGCTAGAGTCTAAAAAGTGCAGATGCCTTTGCACACTTGAAACTAAATTTTGCACCTATGAAAAAATGTATAAATGTACAAGAATCTTGTAAAAGTCTAGGAAAATAGCAGCGATCCTTTCTTTGCAATGAAGTGTTTGTTTCAACATATAATTTCCATCTACATTACTTAAACCACTTACTTGGCTCAAGAGCAGTTTACTTCTGACTGCTGTTGCCGGTAGGATACATGATTTGCAATGCTGAGTATTGTGTTTTTCCATCACAAACATTTATTCATTAATAATTTATTGGATAAATGGCTTCTGATTGAACAATTTAAAGAATGCAGGCAAATCAATGGCAAAAGACACCAAGCAGCATATTATAATGATACAATAATTCGAGCTCATACATTAGACTGAATTGATAGTGTCCCAAAAGCCCTCTTTTGATAGCTCAGTTTCAGAGAGTAAATGTTCAGCTGAAATAACTAATAAAACATCTCAACTACTGCTCTGAGAAATCATGCCAGTATCATGTACAGTATCTTTGAGAGCTAATAAGTTGGCTCTGGAAAGCAAACAAACAAACAAACCCTAGAAAATGTCTCTGTAAAGCTGTAAGCTCCCACTGGGGGGATATTAATAGTCACATGAAGAAGACAATGAACTTGTCTCTCAGTTGTGTGAATGAGACTTTGAAAATCATAATGGTCTGATTCTTTGATGCAAGTGATATTTAGAGATATAGATTGCAGCATTAGATCCAAACACTGCTTGTTATCACTCCTATGTGCAACAGAGGCAGTGAGGGAAGCAAATGTGATAAATCCCTTAAGAGAAAGCTCTCAAGGGTTCCTAATGTATCATGAATACATATCCTGCTCTGAGTTACAGGATTTTCAGTTGAGTTCTTCACAAGGAAAATAAAATGCATTTTAAGGGCTGTGCCATGGGAGTCATCACCACCTCTGAGGTTTCAGAGAAAAGAAGAAAGATTTGAAAATGCTTTTGGAGAAAAGCTGTATATAAATATTTTCCCTCTTTCCAAGGTATATTGCATGAATTAAATTTCTTAAATCTTTCCATGGCAGTAGTCAAGCTCCCTGAGAATAATGTTGTTAAAATCCTATCATTTTACAGGCATTCTGTATTTGCAAAAAGGACTGTTTTCCCATCAGGCTTGAGGAGACTAGTCAATAACATGTTGACAGTATGTAGATTTATTTATAAAATGGATACTGTTTATATTGTACAAGGAATAGATTGTTTTCAAACATAGATTGAATTTATATTCCATTATTTGATGAAGACTCATTAATTATATACAATAAATTTCAGGAATCATAGATCTACCAATAAAAGCCACAATTCAATGTGGAAGATGTGTGAACATCAATATATGTAATTTTATATAAATGATCATAAATATAATCAGTTTATTTATTGTAAACAGTTTAAATGAATATATATGAGGTAAAAAATCAAATTAAATGGGGTAATAATTATTTTTTTTTTGTGATTTGATTTTTAATCCAACTGTTTCTGTTTGTGCTAATGTGAACACAGAGCATCTTGTTTAGTGATTATCTATTTTCAATGTTTATCCACTCTACCTAAGAGTCTTTTTCCATGCCAAAATAAGACTTGCTGAAGATGATGTTTGTACATTTTAAATAATGGACTTGAGTTGGTTTACATATTTCCTTTTCTGAATCTGTTAGCTGCAGGAGATTTTTGAAAAATTACATCCTGCAAGAAATATTATAAAAACAGATGACAAGAGAAGAGTCTCCTGATAAAGGAAGAATTTTAAAAGAAATTTTCAATTATTTTATTTTGATTTGGTTTTCAAAACTTTTTTCTAGTCTAGAAGATAGCAAACAGATAAACACTTGGACATTGTAAGTGACATTCTCTTTATACACATGAAAGTTACTCTTCCTCAAATCATACACAAAATTTGGTCATCACAGGGCCCACACCATGTCCATTTCAATGAAAAATAAAATGAGTTAGATTAAACCATGAGAGCTGAATCACACTTAACACTTCTACAGAGTTAGACAGAAGGCATTAGCTCTCAAACTGTCAAGGCTACTCTGGAAGGTTCAAATCACCATCAGAGTTGCTCCCTACAAAAATAATGAATTTGCAATAATGCCAATAAAATAAATACAGAGAGCCATAATTGTGTGACCGAGGAAAAAGAAAAAGAAAATAAAATCAGTGTTCAATCACTTACACATATTTTCATTTTCAGGCTTCCCCTGACTTCCCTCTGCTCCATAAAAATAATTTTCAGAAAACCCCCAAATATCTGAGCATCTGTTCAACCTTGATAATGAGACTGCCCCAACTTTTAAGAAGACAGAGTTTCTAGTGTTTGGGTCTCTGGGATAAATCTTTCTGACAGACAGCCTTGGGGCAGTAGTGTTGGGAAGTCCTCCAGCACAGTCCTTCAGAGATGACCGTACATAGTCCCGAGCTCTTGATGGAATCTGGGAGTAATTGCTACAGGTTGCTTTTTCCACCTGCTGCATGCATATGAAGCATACTTACCCTCAAGGAAACAACCCTCCATTCTTGCAAATTTTGACATGCCCCATATTACCTTTTCAGCTGTTATTCAAAATGTTTTAAAGATATGTAAAGCCATGGCAAGTCCCAATGGCCACCATACCACTGTGTTGTCATCAGCTTTTCAGTTCCAATCTAGTTCCAGTTTTGGTTGCATGATAAAATGAATTTCAAGCAACTCAATGATTTGCCACTGAAAATGTGAATACTAGCAACCTGCTTTTTTAAAAATATATATTTTTCCTTTTGAAGCCAAATTTCAAAGTGATAAAACATGGCTGAGAAAATTTGCATCAAGATAATATAAGTTGGCAAACACTGTGCTAGTGTGTCCACATTTCAAAATAAGCACAAATCTCCTCTTTTCCCTCTATTTAACTGTCAAGCAAAAGGTAAGATCAGCATTCCACGCTGAGTAATGTGTTACTATGGTGTAACCTAGTGCAGTGAGTCTACACAGAGAAATTTATAACAAGTCAAAAAATTATCAGACTAAAATAACATTAAAAAAAGGTGTGAAATGTGCAGTAAATCTCTTGAGGCAGTAGTCTTAAATAACAAGTCCATGTTGCAATAAATATTTAATAAGAAAAACAAGTATAAATTAATAATGAACAAATATTCTCAAAGTACCCTGAAACAGGGGTATGCACAGCACACAAAATCCCATTTATACCTGAGTACAGTTCAAAGTACCACAAAAGTGCATGTATTTTCCTATAACTCACTATATTTCATATATACATTAAATATGTACAATACACACTTTATGTGGTTTCTTGTGCATGAGCTCTGCTACAATTATTCAGTACAAATTGCTACCTGTGACAAGAGTAGCTGCTTTACTGATGTAAATCCAGCACATTAGCACAACTGTACAGGCAGCTACAGCAGTGGAAACTGTCGTATGATCTACAGAAATAGGTCAGCTTTATGAGGAAATCACTTGTTCCTGGAGGAAATAAATAATGAATTTTCACTTGGGGAGAGACCTCCTTGCAGAGGCAAGGCCAATGTGAATTTTCTTGGCAGAAAACCTGTTTTATCTGAGAGTCAGAAAAAGGAACAGCCAGTGGCCCAGCATCCCTGCCTGGGTGCAGAGAGATGCCTTTCATCACACGTACAGGAGGCACAGTGCAAAAGGGTACAAGGAGAGGATGGGGCTATGACAGCACTCATATCACAGCCCTGGCAGCAGGGGTATGCTGCGCTCACTGGGAAGGGAAGACTACAGCACCTAGTGACCCTCAACAGCTTTGTGTGACAGTGAGAAAATGACAAGGGCCAGTGGGACTCACAAATGCTCATCAGCACATTACAAACTGACAACCCTGTCCAAAGATTTTATGAATGCAGTTAATGTCTAAAAAGAAGACATTTGTTATGAATTTATTTCTCATAATATATGTATTTTTATGTTCAAATATATTTAAATACATGTATTCATAACACAAATTATTTTTGGGCCAAAGGAAGTGGGTAAAATCAGCATATATTATGA